AGTGCTGTCAATCTATTAACGATTATTTTTTGTAATTATTTTGGATGCGATTAATCGTTTGAAAACACTAAATATATTTAGTGCTGTCAAACGATTGATCACCATTAATCGCATCCAAAATAAAAGTTTTTGTTTACATTATATATGTATTTGTACTGTGTATATTATGTATATGTAAATACACACACATACAGTATATGTTTTGAAAATACTTACATTTATACATTTATATATTCATATTCTTATATTTTATATTATATAGATATATATTTAATATATAAACTACATATTATTCTTAAATACATACATGCATGTGTTTGTATTTATATATACATAATAAATATACACAGTATACACACATATATATATATATATATATATATATGTACTGTATATATAATATTATTTCTTTAGTTATTTGCTCATTTTAAATAACCATCAGAGGGCAAAGATTGTATTTGGGGGTCCATATGATGTACTGTAATTGCCACATCTACCAGCAGGGGCTAACAGACCCATGCAAACCAACCAAACTTTGATCCCTTGACATAAACACTGGCTCCGTCACTTATCCAGCCACCCAGTCTCCCTCCATGCCTGTTCTACTGCACATCTCCGGTGTGGTTTTTGAATACTTTAGTTAATATAAGAACAGTATAGAAGAGTAATGTAAATCTTAGGATTGTAGGGATTCATACGGATGCTCCCAGCATCTCTATATTTATAGTAAAATCTGAAGCTCCAGAGTGACAGTTTACAAAACTAATCAAGTTTAAAACATATCCAAATCCTCTGGATACGGCTGCGGTTACGTGATAAATGCCCTTTGGAGAAGCTACATACAAAGAGCACGGCAATGCCTCTGCTCCTGGCTCCACAGTGACATCACTCACACAAAGACTTATTCATGATCTTTCCCTTATGTGTTGACTTTACCTTGTGGCCTCCATTGGATGAAGCATTCATTTTCTCTGCTAGCGCTGTGGGAGAGAGGGGGGGGCCTTTTCTTTCCTTTTCTCACTCTGTGTGTCTCTGCAGGGTCCATTGGAGGTGGCCCAGGTCTTCTTGAATGAAATCCCAGCAGACCCCAAGCTCTTCCGTCATCACAACAAACTGCGTTTGTGTTTCAAAGAGTTCATACTGCGGTGAGTGGCCACTTCCATTTGAAAAGAGATATCAACGTAATCTTTTCAGTGACATGTGATCGAATGAAGCAAGTTTTCCATCAGAGGATCAAAGGAGATATAGAAGTATCTTTATTTTATAGTGATTGGTTTGTTTAAAGTTCTGTATTTGAAAGTTCGCTGAAATACTTGGATGTAAGACACCCGAGGGGCTTTTCCGCAAGCGGAGAAAACCCGTCTTAATGTCACCCAGCTGCATTTGCTTTGCATAATCATCATAATGTTTAAACCAAGACTCGAAACAAATTAAGTTTTTGAATACAGGGATTTTTCCCAGGATGTATACAACTTGTGTGGAAGTATTACATATTGCTTTTTACAGACGAATAGTTCATGTTGGATTCTGGGCCTTGATTGCTGCCAGCGTGCAGACAAATATTTACTGTAGTTTAAAAAATATGTTTATTTTTCTCCATAATCCATCCAGGCTGCCACAATCCTTCTCTAGCCAAGTTACCATTATTTATGCCAAGACGTTATAGCCTACTAATTCTCAAAAGACATATTTTGAAAGATCTAGAACAATTTAAAATTCATTTAGGAAACAGATCCAGAGCACAGTTTTATGTTCCTCAATGTTCCCTTTGTGGCTTTTTGCCTTTGAACGAGTTCTTCTGGGGAATAAAACTAACTGTTGAGTATGCCTATCAAACTCATTTGCCTAGTTCTGTCCAAATGCAGCTAATTGCACTTATTATTCATCATCTGGTGCTCTGTCGAGCTTCTTGTGTTGGCTAATGCTGTTGTGATTGCGTACCTGCAGGTGTGGACAGGCCGTTGAGAAGAACAAGCTACTCATTACTCCTGATCAGAAGGAGTACCAGCAGGAGATGAAGAAAAACTACAACAAACTGCGAGAGAACCTGAGGCCCATGCTGGAGAGAAAGATCCCTGAGCTCTACAAGCCCATCATCAAACCTCGCATCGAGAATAGGTACACCCACTAGTGCTACACTTGATCTTTGACTCGGCAATCAGTGAATGATGGAAATTCTCTCTCGCGTTCAGTAGTATTTCCATAATCGGTGCTAAAGGAATAGTTCAGCCAAACCTGAAGATGCTATCATTATGAACTGCATTTGTGGTGCTTTTATTTTGGAGTTTGTTTGGAAAAGATTTATGGGGAGTTGGATATGGGTTTGGAAAGACATGGGGGTGAGTAAATGATGGCAAATTTTTCATTTTTGGGTGAACTATTCTTTTTAAGTGTGAGTCTCACTGACTTTGTTCACACAGCAGTAGAATACAGTTGTCAGTCCTGTGTGGAGTGCTAAATATTCTCTTAATAAAGGTTTATCAATGTCAGATTTTAAAAGAAGGTTCAATGTAAGGTTCAATGCAAGGTTGAATGTAAACTAGTTGTTGCAACAGTAGTCTGGCATGAGACGGACGTTTAGTGGGATATTATTTGCTGTCAGTCATTAATGCTAGGGCTGTCAACCTTTCCCAGGTTATACAAATGGCAGAAAGTAGAGGTGTGTGTGTGTATTTATTGACTGAAAAAAAAAGTTTCTCAAAGATTTGAGTTTGGTAAGATGTTTTTGAAATACGTTTCATATGCTCACCAAGGCTACATTTATTTGAAAATGAAACGGTGAAAACTGAAATACTGTGAAATATTACTACAATTTAAAAAATGTTTTCTATTTTAATACGTTTAAAATGTAATTTATTCATGTGATGGCAAAGCTGAATTTTCAGCAGCAATTACTCCACTCTGCAGTGTCACGTGATTCTTCAGAAATCATTTTGATATGCTGATATGATGCTTGAGAAACATTTGTTATTTGATATGCTGCTTAATATTTTGAGGAAAATATGATACTTTTTTCAGGATTATTTAATAGAAGGTTCAAAAGAGCTGAAAATAATATAATCAATATATAATAATATAATAGATAAAACTATAACAGAATAATATACATAAAATACATAAATAAAATAATACAAATAAATAATTATATATAAAATATCATAATATTTACACAAAATAGAATTCATCATTTTCATTCTTTCTTTCTCTAATCTCAACATAGAGAACAGGACTGACTTTGCTTATCTGTTCATCCAGACATTGTTCTATTTACTCCTGTATGCTGCTTTATATTCGGGACAGTTTGAGAGTTGGACGATACCAAACACTGACTGTGTGAATATGGACGACTTTTTTTTTTTTAGCACTCCTCTTTCGCATTGCAGCTCTTTCTGTGGAGTTTCTTTCTAACATTGCATTCGCTGCTTAAGCTCCTGTTCCCTCCTGTGTTTGTAACAGAGATTCCTTCAAACGGCAGAGCCTCCGTCGGACACAAGATGAAAATTCATGATGTCAAGAGAACATCTCCAGAGGATATCAAGGGAAGGATGTTGCAGTGTGCCAGGAAACAAGAGCTCCGTCAGCTGATAATTAGATGACTCGAGCAGAGTTTTATGCACTGCGTTGAAACCCCCTGAAAATATCACAGATTGTTGTATTCTATATTACTGTATATAAGGAATAGATTTTAAGGGATGTAGAACTTTATTTGCTTATAATTGTTTTTAGAACAAAAACCTCAGCCAGTCATTTTTTTTTGTTTGTTTTTACTTTTTCTGGATATGGTTCGAATCTTCCTTAGTATGCTACTACATATATTATATTCTTAACTAACAGACATGTTACATGTGAGGAACAAATCTACAACCTTAAATTAACTGCTTCAAGACAGAAAACCTGATCATATTTCAAAGACACTGAAAGTGTTAAAAGTGTAAAAAATTGACAAAACGGACAGTTATCGGTATAATGTATGTTTACATAGAGCTAATATTTTGTTTGTCCTGTTCTATGTATATTGTAATTGCAGAGATTTACAAGATACAGTTTTGTATATATAGTTCTATTTTATTTATAGAGAATATTTAGCTCTTAAAATGTGACCAGACCAGATCAGAATAAAAGTAAATCAGGTTTACAGAGATAAAAGAACAGCACCAGTTAAAAGTGCAGAGTAAGAGTGCATCAAATGTTTACTTTTGCCTCCTGTTTCTTAAATAACTGGAAATTGTGTCAAATTAATGATTTATTCTTTTTATTTTTTTATTTTCCAATTTACAAGTGCACTGCACATAAGCTTATATTATATGTTGTTTCTGTTTCCAGTGCTTCATTACATCTGTTACATATTACTGCTCTGAAAACTATAAGAACAGTTTGTTGGTTTTATTAAACGTATAGGTCATTGCAATTTCAACTTAGACTACTTCTGTTCGAAAAGCACTAAATAAATACAAATAAATAAATAAATATTTTTGTCAATGAAATTTGAATGCACTTCCTTAAAAAGCTACAATCTTATACCTGTTGTGCAGTAATATTGTGTTGAGAAATATTATTTTGACTTAAAAAGCATTATTTAGATCTATTCTTGCATTATAAACTATAATTCAGTGGCATTTTTGATTCAGTCAGAACTCAGGTAAATCCTTATGAGATCCAGCTCAGCTTCCTGTCGCTGCATGATGACGCATATCGCATGAGACGGCGTTTCGGCGGCTTTTAAGCGTTGTAGTACTGTCACAGGGAGGAACAGGTTCGTGAAACAACTCTTGGTATATATAAAATGACTTAGCTTTATATTGCTGCGGTGCAAACCAGCTATTGCAGCTAATTGTCAGTTGCATGTTCTACTGTAAGCAAATCAGAAGAGTCGGAAAAGAAAACCTGGACTCTCACTTCAATAACTGAGGTGGCTTTATTAGAGTGTATTAAAGCTGATTTGTTGATAAGTTTTTAACCCTCTGTTTGACTGCATTCGAATCTCACGCGCTTTAAATGTGCACATCTGTGGAAGTAAGGTTCTTCTCGATTCTGGTCCTGAAGTCATCCAACTCTTCAAAGTTTGGATGTTTCCCCGCAAATTCTGGTCTTGAACCTTCTATTGTTAATTAAGAAGTTATCTTTAATAAGATTAAAGAGCTGATTAATCGTGACGTCAATTTGTAGGCTAATTCCTTAAGGGTTCTCCACAGTTTCCTATGATATTTGAAATAGGGTAAAATATGAATTAGGCTACACCTTAAAAACGACTTTCTAAATCTATGTGATTAATATTTTTCATTCATTCATGCATATGTTTGGTTGCACCAAAATCGTCTGGGGCCCCTATATTTTCACCACATATCTACCTGCTAGCGACGCCCTGAGTATGAATGTTATCTGGACGTACTACATCTACCATGGTGTCACTGTCTTGTGGCTAACAGTATCATCCATTCATAACTCTTTCTTAGAAGTTTCAATTTAGACTACAATTGTTAAGCACACATCCTTTTAATATAAGAAAACTTGGAAGTCTCCTCAAGTAATGTTAACTACAGAGTATATACTACTCCTAAATCAATCAAACATTATAAAAATCCATAGGAAATTTCAGACAGTACCTATGGCTCGAAAACCTTCAAGGTTTCGAGACCACAAACTGAACAGCTCTGGGGAAGATATCCAAACTGTGCAGTGCTGGGTTACTCCAGTATTGAGAACTACTGCTATGAAGACAGAATGAATATGAGTGGATTGCCTAGTCATCACCCAGAGAGTAGTATTTAACTTAAGGGTTATTTATGTTGTTTGATGGAAGTGTCTATGTGTGAGTGATTTAACACCTGATTATGGGCCTCTGGTTATAAATTGTCACTTTAAGCACCTCTTATTAAATTTCCCCTTTGCATGGAAGAGAACACAAGTGTACACTTCAAAGGTCTGAGTGTAGCCTATCCTTACAAGACAATGAAATATAGAAATGAATATTCTTCTTGTTATTAGTAAAACATTTATTTGGGTAGTTAAGAAATAGGATAGACCTTTTAAACTTTTTTAACCATCAAGATTTTAGTTTAAAAATGATGTATTGGCATAGGGGAAAGTTTGTTTAAAGTTACAGCATATATTTAGATGTACAATGAACTTACAGGGATAGTTCACACAAACATTTATACTCTTAATTTTTCGTAACCAACATTCTTCAAAATATCTTTTTATGGTTCACAAAAGAAAAAAAAAAGCCAAACAGGTTTGGAACATGAAAGTGAGTAGGCTAAATGTTGACAATTGGAATTTTTGATGAACTATTCCTTGAAGTAGTTCTGTTCAAATGTTCAATACAATTTAATATTCCAGTTAATAGGTTATACAAAACTGCATACATTATAATTATATAAGATAAAAGTCTTGTTCAAAATAGTTTTAAAAGTATAGCATGTCACCCTGCTTGAAAGTTCATGCCAACTACCCATGTAATTATTTAGGATGCTACCGAATAATAGAATGTACGATGGCCTGAGGATATCTATGTTATTTAAGAGGTCTATCTAAAGTATTATGATTACAGATTAATGCTGTGATTGAGTGTTTACCATACATAGATTCATTGAAGTAACATTTTCTTTAACATTTATAATTACAGGCTATTAAATTCCTCAGGACCAGATGCAGACTCAATAACAGAAGTTAAGAGACGGAATTATTTTACAAATAGCATTCCGTTTATATTACTCCTAATGATATTTCAGTCTGGTTTTAAAGATCTGTTCCTGCCTAAAGAATATTCCCATAAGATATGGAAAGTAACCGCGGTCTGGATCTGGATCCGAATAAAGATGACCTGCCCCTGCGGGCTAACACCAACCATATGCTCGTCCGACACTATGTTCTTGACCTGACTGTTCACTTCCAAAGGAAGGTCATTGGTGGCAGCATTGTTCTGTTTCTGGAGCCCGGTGTGGTTTCCAGCAAACAAGGTGAACCAGGATCTATATCAAACACACCAGTGCAAAACATATCTCAGGTGTCATCTAAACATGACGCAAGTTCTCCCATCACACCTGAGCCAAATAAGGTGATACCCCCTGAGGAACCATCACGTTTGTGTGGAGGAAATGATGTCAGTAGTGTCTTGTGGGGCAAAGAGAGTGAAGAATTCACCTTGGTGCTGGATTGCTGTGACCTGACGGTGTCAAAAGTGGAAGAGTTGGATGTAACTGCAGTACCTGATTTAAAGAAACTTGACGTAGACCAACAACATGCAAATACAGATCATCCGTCATCCAGTCTGGTACAAAGGCTGGTCTCTATGCCTTCCGTCTGCTGGAGACTGCAGCATGAGCTATACGTCCAGTGCAGCCGTTCTCCTACTCTTCATAATGCCCAACCTCTACGGTTCCACACAGACCGGTGGAGTCTTCAGATCAGGAAGGAAGGGGTTTGTGCCCCTCATGATTTCCCACGTGCTGTCAGAATATGGTATGAAACTAAGCTCACAGGTGGTTCTGTGAGGTGGACAAAAGACCAGGATGGCAGGTAGGCTACCAACCATGTGTAGATATTTACATGCACCCACAACTATGGTTGGATTATATTCATACATTTCCTAGAGTCACAAGCTCTTGGTTCAACTAAATGTAATTCAAATTAATTTGGACATAAATCTGTTATAAATATTTTTAACTAAGATAAAAAAAAGCCTTCTTGGCTTCTACACGTGTGTATGTACAGTACATACACACAAATAGTAACAAACTGTAGCCTAATTAAATCATGATTCAAATGGTTCATTAGTTTGGACGAGTCACTTGTTCATGAATCGGACTACATTTGCTTATAAAAAGAACCGTTTGTAAGAATCATTTGTTTGTGAGTCGGACTACATTTATCACGCTGTATGTTATGGCAGCAACCCGCGAAGACAACTTAATAGAAATTATTTTCTTGGCATTATATTAATTATCCCACGTGGGACGAAGAGGATTAATAATAATAAATGATAATAATTATTTTGCCGTGGGACTGTAAATTAAAAAAAAGCGGTGCAGAAAACGCTAATCGACATTCTATTATAATGATTCTAGATAAATATAGGACTATCTGTGTAGGCTATAAAATATAATTGATACAACGATGTTGATTCAGAAACTGTTGTTTTAAAGAGTTAATCCAAAGAGGAATTCGTCAGACTGATTCAAACAACTTTTTTTTGAATGAATCATTAAAAATATCGGTTTGAACGAGTTTGTCATTACATACTGGCAGCGAAGAAAAAAAACTTAATAGTGTTTTCTTGTTATCATTTCACTGTTACTGCTGCAACCGTTTTATCTCATCACATTCAACTCGAAATGTAAGCTTAGGTAATATTAGGCTATGACTTACTTTGACGTTGGACTGTATACAGGAATAGAGTAAAATATGGACAATTAAATGGCATTTTAATAATCCATATTTTTCAAATTAAAGAGTTCAAATGAATATCGCGATAAAGAGTCCATTTTCACCCAGTTCGACCCACACACAACCATATCCAGGATATTCTGATGCCACATCTTTATCTTTTAGATGCTGTGTATATACCATGGGCTCGCCCATCAACAACAGAGCCCTCTTCCCGTGCCAGGAGCCACCTGTTGCCATGTCAACGTGGCAGGCGCGTGTGAGAGCTCCGTGTGATTACACTGTTGTAATGAGTGGTGAAAATCAAGCCTTTCCTAAGCCTGCGGACACAGGTACAGTTAAAACCCTTACTCAGCACTTCAGAGTCACGGAGGTGTAATTTAATGTGCTAATTTTATTATGGAAAATGCTGAAGTCTTTTCTTTACTCCGTTCAGGTTTTCTGCAGTGGGATTATTATGTTACAATGCCAATGCCAGCCTCTACCTTTACCATAGCGGTGGGGCAATGGCTAGAGGCTGGAGTAAAACATCCCAACTTTGAGGTGGAAAAAACAGACAAACCTTACGATAAAGAACCCAGGTATCTTGTTATGATAAATGTCAATATAGATAAGTATTGACTTTTAGACTCATTTGTAGTTTTTGGAGAACATAGATATAGGCCCTATTATTAATTTTATTTTAGCATATTTTACAGTTTATTTATATTTATTATTTAAGTTTTTTTTTTTACAGATTTCAAAATATCCCAATGAAATAGATTTAAAAAAAATAAATAAAAAATTACATGCCAGAAGAACAAGAGGTATTACATAGTCCAGTTATTAGGCTACACTAAAAAAAATTACATTAACTACCAGACAAAAAGTTGCATAGATTTCAGTGCTTTTTAAACATTCAATGTTTTAAATGCTTCTTTTGTTTGTTCCAAAGGGTTTATGTATAATTTGAAGTTATTTATAAAATGTTAGAAATTTGGTTAGCAAAGAGTGCATTTCTATGGTACCGTATTTTCTGTGTAAAATAAATAATTGCATATTGTTTTTTACC